TTCTAAGTATTTTTTCTTAATTTCTTCTCAATCTATTGAGATAACTGAACTTCCAATTATTTTTCCTTATTATTTGTTTCTACATCTATTGAGAGATAAGTGAACTTCCAAGTATTTTTTCTTAATTTCTTCTCAATCTATTGAGATAACTGAACTTCCAATTATTTTTCCTTATTATTTGTTTCTACATCTATTGAGAGATAAGTGAACTTCCAAGTATTTTTTCTTAATTTCTTCTCAATCTATTGAGATAATTGAACTTCCAAGTATTTTTTCTTAATTTCTTCTCCAGCTATTGAGATAACTGAACCACGAAGTATTTTTCTCTTACTTTTTTCCATTTATTGAGAGATAAGTGAACTTCCAAGTATTTTTTCTCCATCTATCGTGAGATAAATGAACTTACAAGTATTTTTTCTTATCATTTGTTTCTCCATCTATTGAGAGATAACTGAACTTACAAGTATTTTCCCTTATTATTTTTCTCCATATCTTGAGATATAACTGAACTTACAAGTATTTTTTCTTAATTTTTTCTCTATCTATTCAGAGATAACTGAACTTAAAGTAATTTTTCGCCACCTATTGAGAGATAATTGAACTTCCAAGCATTTTGTCTTAATTGTTTTCTCCATCTAATGAGAGATAACAGAAATTTCAAATATTTTTCCTTATTATTTGTTTCTCTACCCGTGAGAGAAACTGAACTTCCAATTATTTTTTCTTAATTGAAGTTCAGTTATCTCTCAATAGATGGAGAAAATATATTTGGAAATACAGTTATCCCTCAATGGATGGAGAAAAAATTAAGAAAACATACTTGGAAGTTCAGTTATATCTCAATAAATTAAAAAAATTAAGAAAAAATACTTAGATATTTTGTTATCTCTCAATAGATGGAGAAAAGAAATTAAGAAAAAATACTTGGAATTTCAGTTATCTCTCAATAGATGGAGAAACTATTAAGAAACAAATACGTGGAAGTTCAGTTATCTCTCAACAGATGGAGAAAATAAGTATTTTTTCTTAATTTTTTCTCA